TGGAAAGATTGCAATGATTACCTACCTATGACTAAGGGGGACAACTGCGTGTTGTTCTCTTTATGATCTGCGTGATTGTTGTGGGTTAAGAGACTATTCAAAGGCAGTAAAGGTTTTTCCACCCATGACTAAGGGAAACAACTGCGTGTTGTCTCCTTTATGATCTGCGTGATTGTTGTGGTTTCATGGAAGTAATAGATATCCTTCCTACGAGTGGAGCAAGCTACGTGTTGCCCTTCAACGATCTGCGTGATTGTTGTTCTGCTTTGCAATGAGTCTTTCCTGTTAGAAAGCATAACTCAATTTCTTGCTTTGAAAAGTGATGATGACTTTGTTTTCTTTGCATTCTCATTTTGATAAAAAATAGAAACATCGTACTAATTATGACGAGGTTAATACCTTCTGGAATACGGTTGAGACCATCCAAACCAAACAAAAAGAATTGGAATTCAAGAAGGTAGGTATCTAGCGAAATATTTTATGGCATTTTGGGTCTATTTTTGAGTTGATATTTCCATCTTTATTAAATCGAAGCAGTCCAGAGTGTTTTCGATGGGGCCATCACATACACTGAAGAAGTGTTTGCAACTGCCACGGAAAATTTGGTGAGAATATTGTGCATGTTCTCGTTTTTATTTCTCGCAAAATCTTACCACCATTCATGAAATATTTTATAGAAAAATGAGAAAAAACGTTCATCTGCTGAATTTCTGAAAGATAAAGCCCCTCTTCCACGTGTTGTCACTCCACGAAAGGAGTCTTTATCTGAATACACAACTGGATCTGTGAAGTTGCTTGACCAAACGAATAAGGATATTTTCAGTGATGAAGAGGAAGTGGAGGAAAGTACTAGTTCAAAAAAAGCTCATAATAATTCGAAACAAAAGCGACGTCAAACAAGATATGGAAGAGACATCCCAGACTATTCCGAACAAGAATCTGATCAAGGATATAAGCCTGAAAAAGTACGCAATATGCCATATTGATCCCTGGTGTTTTCATGTTATCATGTTAGTTCATATATCAACTTTTAAACTTTGTATTTTAGAGAGTACGCTTACGATCGCATCATGCAGGCAAGGATGATAAACCAGAGATTGATGACGGGAAATTCGAGGTATAACAAACGTTGTTAGGCAATATATACATAGAATCTTATAAATACTTTAATCTAATTATCATATTATCATTTGGTTTCTCTTACAGGAAAATTATGATGAGGAAACCGAATTGTTTTTCGAACTCTCTGATATATCAGCAATTCAAGAGTTAATTACAGAATCTATTGCAAATACGACTGAGGAATTGGTAGTTAAATTGTTGAGATGGCAACAGAACAACCTTAAGCAATTATATCATGGAATTCATCGTCCAGAAGAACAGAATATCAATAAAATTCTATCTGTTTCATCAATATTTTATTTCCGGAAACAAAATGAGCAATCCTATCTTGATTTTCTAACAGCAAACGATATTTCTAAAATTCGGTCAGGTATCATCTCAAAATTTGTAAAAATTACAACTCCGCATGAATTGATAAGTTTCGTTGATGAAAATAAAAAGGTTCGTAAATTTTATTTTTGTACTGTATAATGATTTAAGTGAATCGCTCTTATTTTTGTTTTATCATACCTCTTTAGAAATTTCAACGGGATGCTCAGGAAGAAATCGCAAAATTCATTAAATTATCTGCTGTGAAACAGAATGGGAGTTTATTAAATGAAACATTTTTCAGATTATTAGAAGAATGCGCCACTTGGAATTCTTCAGTAGATGTGAATAAAATGAACGAAGGATCATACATTGTAGACTGTATTGGGCCACTGTTTAATAAGACTATCCATTAATTTAACTATATCACAATTCACTCATGGTATGAGATTATTTAATGTGTATTGGTTGATTTTTATAAAAAAGGACTACTAATTTATGATTGTTTTATTCTATAGGATCGATACAGTGTCAGAAGCGTCTAAATTACGCCGAAGTCGTGGTAGAGTGCCCGACTATATGTTGAAAAATAGAGACGAGACTTGTGTAGGCGTTTTCTGCGAAGTAACAAGCCCCAAACGTCAGGATGAGGAGCATAAAGTTTATTGGGATATTTACCGTGGTTCCATACATGCTAAGGACTCCATAGATTTTGACATCAAACAACGAGAGATGCACCCAGATGAAACGAATCAAATTGTCGTTTTTATCAATGGCCACAAAATGGAAGTATGTGTTATGACATTGTATTATCCCGGAATATATTTACTTGTTGAGGTGGAATCATGCACCATACCGAAAACTGTTAGAGATCTGGGATCACTTATAAAGCTTCATCAAATATTGATGAGTATTCGGGTTGGTTTTTTTTTCCTGATGTTTTGGTAATCATGTGTTGTATCTTTTTATGCTAACTGTAGACTATAAATTAGGAGAATGCGATAGACTTGTTGGGTGAGAGAAGCCGTACCACACCACTTCAAACAAATTATTCAAAGTGGTTACGTCCAACTGCTGATACGCCAAGTGCAAGAACTGAAAACTACTTGTCTGTACTTATGAAAAAGTAAAATAAACCTAGTTTGATTTTTAACTTAATCAGTGTGTGCTTCGTTAATAAACTTCATACTTTAACTATATATTGTATGAGTGGGTTGTGTAAAATTGTGCATCGGAATACATAAATGTTTATATACTACAAATTACAAAGTTTTGATTTATTGGCTTTGCTAAATTTCGCCATGTGACTTCGTATAAATGGTTCATTTTACATTGCGCAGTATTCTGTATACCCCGCATTACCTGTACATTTACAAACGTTACATCGCCTTTTCGCATAAATGCTCAAAGTCCGAGCAATGTAAAAAATTCGTGTGATTTTTCCTGACCCGAGGTCAGAGAAATTTTGCCAAGAGAATTTTAGGTTATTCCGGCTTATGATTTGGGCGAACCAAGTTCGCTAAAATTTTGCCAAGAAAAAAAAATATTGCTCGCAGATCAAAGGATTAGTTGATCATCTCGTGATTACTAGCGTCAGGGGCCAGAGTGATACAATTCGTTGATCACCCCGTAAGTCATTCATCTAAAGCTTTAACTCTGTATAAATTTGAATCATAATATTTATTAGTATAAGTTGATAAAGAATTGCTAGAATTCACTAAAAAACGTTATAATTACTGAAATTGCTATAAAATCCCTATATCCATAAAATGGCTAAATCTAACAACTATAATGGTGTGAATCCTGTAATTATGCAGGCGTTAAACAATTTGCAATATAGGTATAGTGTATAGGTATAGTGGTGAAACACCAGAAATGTGGTGTTCTCGTGTTCCTTATCCATTTAAGACACTTCTTGAAAATAATCCAAAATACTTTTCGAAGAATGGCACTGTATGTGACTTCTTAATATCTATTCGTTAAATACCATCAAATGTACGAATGATCACCTGAAGAAATGCATTGCCGAAAGGCGCTTCGTATATTCTAAACCTATACAGAAAAATGTGAAAAAAGGAGGAAGTGTATCAATACTCACTTCTGATGAGATTGAAAACATTTATCAAACATATTGTTTTATATTCAGTAAAGACTTGACTAATTATAGTTATGCGTATGAATATGAAATTAGGAAAAGACATGTAAATCATTTAATCAATAATGCAAAAGTTATCCAATAGGCTTGGAAAACTTACAAGTTTAGACCTGAGACATGTGCAAAATGAGTTTGAAATATGGTGAGAAATGATAGTACTCCTGACAAGAAAAAGTTTCTAAGTATAACTCCTTGCAAAATAAGAGTTTCCGATGATTGGTATATATACTATAATTGGGTGGAATATAATTATGAAGATAGAATTCAAACTAAAGATGTACTTGAACATGATCAGCATATTCCTGCATTATATGATTATTATGATCCACAAAACTGTGCAGAAAAGAAGAAATATCAGTTATAGTGACAATTATTTATTGTGGTATATATAGTTGTTTTTATAGAATTATATCTGAAAGATTATAGAATCGTCGAATATTCAGGTTGGTCTTATATATTAAAGTAGCTATTGAATTCTGAAGATTACTGTATTAATAAATACTATAATAATGGTAATGTAAATTTCGTTAAAAGTTTAGAATATGCATAATATGAGATGTGTAAATTACATAGCAATGGATATATGCAATTCGCTAGAAATTGACTATTATAAATCTGGATATTTCACTATTGAGGGAAAGCTTAATAGTATAGATTTCTTAGATTTGAAAAATAATTGTGAGTATGTGCAACAAATTTTCTGAGTTATAGATTTTTTACCAAAATAGTATATTACATATTTATTATAATAATACAATAAATTGATCCTTTCTTTTTTTGTATAGATCGCCTACTGAATGTATCACCTGTAAAGGAGAAATAAAACACGTGATTTTGACTGGAACGCTCAGCTGAAATTTGCTAAGAAAAGTCACAATAGATTATTTTTTTCATGAAAAAGAGGAAGTTCGTTCAATAAAGCAATCATAGGAATTCTTGATTCCTAAATACTATGCGAAGTATCTTATGGCTAATTATAGCTTTAAAAATTTCTATGCAACAATTATCTAGCAAGCTTATAGGAATTATAAGAAGAGATCTGTATTTTTAGCAAAACAAGTTTGGGAGGTGGTAAGAAATAATGGTATTCATGACAAGTGGTTATGTATTATTCCTTGTGGTAAGGCTTATTATTATATTAATGGAAAACTCATAAAATTTAACTGGAAAAGTGATTATTTTAATATGCTATATAATTATACCCTTTATTCTTCTATAACTTGGGTGGAAGTGAAAAAAAATCAATTATTATACCGATTAGGTTAGATGCTTTTTATTCATGCTAGAAAAACATTACAACAAAAAGGTTATATACCAAAGTGATATACTATGATAAAATGGACACAGAATCCTGAATATTATTTTGATACTAAAAAAAGTCCAGTTAGTATACTAGTAGTCAGAATGGAAATGTTAACGCAATTCAATTTGCATATTAATATCCCACCTAACAGTAATTGGTGGTATAGAGATAAAGAATCCTAAGAACATTCTTGAGAAATATTTTTTAATGCCATATCCAATATAATTTTATAGATATGGAGCTAATCTGTAGAATATATTATCTGCAGGAGAAAAACTATTTATAAATTTTTTAAAATACAATCGAAGTGGATACATAAATAAAAAATAATTCTATATAGGGAAATGTATTATATTAGCTTCATATTTACCTGCGTCTTGCCAATAGCATGTAAGGCTAGTCTGGTATAAGAAAAATAAAACATGTTTCTAATTCTTATTAAAGCTTGTGAAATGCATATATGATGTAATAGTGCAGGATAGGTAAGTACGTATCTATTATATAAAATATTGGCATTTACCTACCCTGGATATGATATACTACCAATCATCTATGTGAATGTAACTATCTGCTTGTGTGATAAAATAATTTCATAGATAAATCGATCCTTCCCAAAAAATATTTTGAATTTTTTTTCCCTTCTTCAGTCATAGACCTGTAGAAGATAATCTATCCTAATCTGGACAAATGAAAAATCTATATATGCATTACCTCCAATGTCTTTCTAAATGTCAAGATCTTCAATGCATATCCCTATTCTCTAGTGCAAAATTTTGGCGTAAGTCTATTGCATATTCTCCTGTCTCTTCTTTCCAACATGAATACAAGTCTAGAGAGAATGTAAATGAAGTCATTTAAAAAGGTAGTATATTGGAGTGATGACTATTATAACTTCTTTTATTTTTACCATGCCTGCCAATTTATACACTAAAATTTACAATTTCTTGTAAATGCTAAGGAAGAGGACATTACCGCTGGGTCTGTTATCTATTAAGAAATCAAAGACAATCTCTATATATTTCAAAATGAGCTGAAAAGTATTATTAAGCGAGCTGTTACATTTGTGAAGAATCAATATAATCAAGATTCTTTATGCTATACTACTCTTTTCAAAATTTTATCAGAGGTAAAATATTTCTAAAGAAAGTGAAAAGAAAATTTATTTGAGTGATGAATAACATAGACTGATACCGTTATGAGGAAAAAAGTATGATAGTCTAAATATCCTATTAACCCACTTACAGGATTTTTCCTCGGTAGTGTGGAGGGTAGTTAGAATATATATATATATGCTTCATTTAATGTGATTATTTTAGTATTACATAAAGTCTTTATTTGAGTGTTGGAGTAGCTAACCATGTGAGAATAGAGCTTTATTTTAATTTGACAGCGCATGCGCTTTTGATAATTATATATATATATATCCTGAATTAATTAAATATATATCTGTATTAGTTTGAAATTAGTTTTAAAACAATTTGTAGTTTACGTAACATCAGTGTGGTGAAGACCAATGGAGAAAGGCCTCTTAGTTCAGATAAAATTAGAAAAAATATCAAGGCGCTAAAGGATAAACTTAGAAAAAATACATCACAACTTTACCACCATTTGTTTTCAGGTATAAATGAGGTGTCTATTTCTGAATTAACCTGAAAGGACTCTCTAGCTAACCAAGTGATTAGCAATGATTCAAATCTAGTGAAAAAATTATCAGAACAGTTGAAGGAGTTTTATGATAAATTCTTCTTTTTTATTATACAATCATATGTGAAGTGCTTGGTTCAAAGAACCCCTTTGGTTAACAGCTGATATTTTTAGATCTTGACATCATTTAATTTATACTATTATTAGAAACCAGTAAAAGATATGGTTCCTTCATCACTTTCACAAATTATACGAGAAAAATGCGAAGAATTTGTGATTAGCTTTATTGAGAGTGTTATGAACATTTTATCACAAAAACTTTCACATAATGGGAAGTGAAAAGAATCAGATGAGAAGCTTGCAGAAGTCACATCAAGAATTTTGGGTTCTCTAAATGATTTATAGAATAATCCTGCATTTAGTTCTGAGTTTGCAAAATTACAAAATGAAGGTACTTATGTGACAAACGTAATTATACCTGCTATTCAGGTCACATTAAAAGGTCTTCCTTTAGAGAGGTTGTCTTATGTCAGCACGTGAGTTATAATATAATTAATAAAAAGTGATATTTCGAAAACTTAGACCATCACTAATGTTCTTCTTTTATTAGTGCTGAACGCTAAAGTTCAGCTAGTGCAGATAGGAAAGGCGAAAGGCGAACAGGAAAACAGCCAGATATAATGTTGTGATGAAGTATGATAGAAAAAATACAAGCTTATATATATTGAAAATTCACGCCTATTTTGCACATCACAAAAGAAAATAGATGATAAAATAAAATTATGGCGTGAGGCTAATGATGGGATGTACTGGATTCATAAATCATCTGGGCTAGATAAAGGTGAATTTGGAATTATTGGAATGCAAGTTGCCAGACGAATAACACGCTTAAATATTCTCATTAGAGATATGGAAAATATCTATCATTATTACTATCTTTATGAAGCAGAAATTTTTATACAACCATCTGATTTATCTCTCGTAATAAATTTCATAAAGACTTTACTGATTTTACGGAATATTCTAAT